GAAGAAGAAGAAGAAGAAGTATTTCAGTAGCCAGAGACAGATGTCCGACTGTTATAGCTATAGTATTTCAGTAGTCAGAGACATGTGTCCGACTCTTATAGCTATAGTATTTCAGTAGTCAGAGACATGTGTCCGACTGTTATAGCTATAGTATTTCAGTGGCCAGAGACAAATGTCCGACTGTTATAGCTATAGCATTTCAGTAGCCAGAGACAGATGTCCGACTGTTATAGCTATAGCATTTCAGTAGCCAGAGACTGATGTCCGACTGTTATAGCTATAGTATTTCAGTAGCCAGAGACAGATGTCCGACTGTTATAGCTATAGTATTTCAGTAGCCAGAGACTGATGTCCGACTGTTATAGCTATAGTATTTCAGTAGCCAGAGACAGATGTCCGACTGTTATAACTATAGTATTTCAGTAGTCAGAGACATGTGTCCGACTGTTATAACTATAGTATTTCAGTAGTCAGAGACAGATATCCGACTGTTATAGCTATAGTATTTCAGTAGCCAGAGACATGTGTCCGACTGTTATAACTATAGTATTTCAGTAGTCAGAGACAGATATCCGACTGTTATAGCTATAGTATTTCAGTAGCCAGAGACATGTGTCCGACTGTTATAGCTATAGTATTTCAGTAGCCAGAGACAGATGTCCGACTGTTGTAGCTATAGCATTTCAGTAGCCAGAGACTGATGTCCGACTGTTATAACTATAGTATTTCAGTAGCCAGAGACAGATGTCCGACTGTTATAGCTATAGTATTTCAGTAGTCAGAGACAGATGTCCGACTGTTATAGCTATAGTATTTCAGTAGCCAGAGACAGATGTCCAACTGTTATAGCTATAGTATTTCAGTAGCCAGAGACTGATGTCCGACTGTTATAACTATAGTATTTCAGTAGTCAGAGACAGATGTCCGACTGTTATAACTATAGTATTTCAGTAGCCAGAGGCTGAAATCCGACTGTTATAACTATATTTTTTCATAGTCAGAGACTGATGTCCGACTGTTATAACTACAGTATTTCATAGTCAGAGACAGATGTCCGACTGTTATAACTATAGTATTTCAGTAGTCAATGACAGATGTCCGACTGTCATAACTATAGTATTTCAGTAGCCAGAGACATATGTCCGACTGTTATAACTATAGTATTTAAGTAGCCAGAGACAGATGTCTGACTGTTATAACTATAGTATTTCAGTAGTCGGAGACAGATGTCCGACTGTTATAACTATAGTATTTCAGTAGCCATAGACTGATATCCGACTGTTATAACTATAGTATTTCAGTAGTCAGAGACATGTGTCCGAATGTTATAGCTATAGTATTTCAGTGGCCAGAGACAGATGTCCGACTGTTATAGCTATAGCATTTCAGTAGCCAGAGACAGATGTCCGACTGTTATGGCTATAGCATTTCAGTAGCCAGAGACTGATGTCCGACTGTTATAGCTATAGTATTTCAGTAGCCAGAGACAGATGTCCGACTGTTATAGCTATAGTATTTCAGTAGCCAGAGACTGATGTCCGACTGTTATAGCTATAGTATTTCAGTAGCCAGAGACAGATGTCCGACTGTTATAACTATAGTATTTCAGTAGTCAGAGACATGTGTCCGACTGTTATAACTATAGTATTTCAGTAGTCAGAGACAGATATCCGACTGTTATAGCTATAGTATTTCAGTAGCCAGAGACATGTGTCTGACTGTTATAACTATAGTATTTCAGTAGTCAGAGACAGATATCCGACTGTTATAGCTATAGTATTTCAGTAGCCAGAGACATGTGTCCGACTGTTATAACTATAGTATTTCAGTAGTCAGAGACATGTGTCCGACTGTTATAGCTATAGTATTTCAGTAGCCAGAGACAGATGTCCGACTGTTATAGCTATAGTATTTCAGTAGCCAGAGACTGATGTCCGATTGTTATAACTATAGTATTTCAGTAGCCAGAGACAGATGTCCGACTGTTATAGCTATAGTATTTCAGTAGTCATAGACAGATGTCCGACTGTTATAGCTATAGTATTTCAGTAGCCAGAGACAGATGTCCGACTGTTATAGCTATAGTATTTCAGTAGCCAGAGACTGATGTCCGACTGTTATAACTATAGTATTTCAGTAGTCAGAGACAGGTGTCCGACTGTTATAACTATAGTATTTCAGTAGCCAGAGGCTGAAATCCGACTGTTATAACTATATTTTTTCATAGTCAGAGACTGATGTCCGACTTTTATAACTACAGTATTTCATAGTCAGAGACAGATGTCCGACTGTTATAACTATAGTATTTCAGTAGTCAATGACAGATGTCCGACTGTTATAACTATAGTATTTCAGTAGCCAGAGACAGATGTCCGACTGTTATAACTATAGTATTTCAGTAGCCAGAGGCTGAAATCCGACTGTTATAACTATATTTTTTCATAGTCAGAGACTGATGTCCGACTGTTATAACTACAGTATTTCATAGTCAGACACTGATGTCGGCCTGTTATAACTTTAATATTTCAGTAGTCAATGACAGATGTTCGACTGTTATAACTAATGGTACTTTAGTGAAATATATGGGAACATGCTGTAATTTTAGTACTTTCTGAGGCAATATTAAATAGTTTATAAACATTTTACTTTGATGAGATGCACGTTAAATCATTATCACTGTGGTACTTTTCTGGGATAGATGTTAAATAATTATTAGATGTCACCGAAGAAGCTTAAATGAGTGTCAAATTAAAGATGGATATAAATACTAAATACCCAATTCTTGGATTTTGTTGTTGTTGTTGTTGTTACTGTTGTTGCTGTTTTGTTTCTGTGTGGGTGTCGGGGCCTTATTATGGAGAAAGAAAGAGTAGACCCACTGCCCCCATACAAGTATGTCGTAGAAGGCTACTAACTGGGGGACATAGAAATTGGAATGCCTCTGCCTTAGAGGCGATGAACAACAGCCTGCATGCAAATAAGCCAGATCTGTGAACTCAAGTTCTAGAACAAAATCAGTGTTGAGAAATAGACGAACAACAAGAACTTTTCACCAGATTCTACAGCCGGTTATTGCTAAGAAGAAAAATAAAGATGTTTTAATCAACAAGCTAAATGACTATGACAAGATAAGAGGGAGTACATTAGTTAGTGTTATTATTTCTCTTGTGGGGATGACTTAAGTGTTCACACAAGCAGGTTTCGCCATATTTTTTTTAAAGTCTGGATAAATGTAACGTGACATACAGGGAGAAAATTAGAAAGGGACAAAGACTGCAGACAGACTAAGGACTGAATGTCTGGAAAAAACCCACATCAGATACATGTGAGAACAGCAATAGTCGTGAAATCTCGTGCGTTTATAGTGGAGGGTTGTTCTCAAAGAAAGGTCATCTGGCTAGTCACACTCGCCATCGCCACGGGCCGCGATTCGTATGCATAACCAAAAACAAAGGAACCATTCTGACTTGAAAGATGAAATTGCACCAACAATAAATTCAGCAGACCTATGTATTAGAGGCTGTTAATAATATCTTTCTTAAACACATTTTTTTTAATTAATGCTACTCTGGGGTCAAATAAAATGTGTAATGTGTGCCGACTGTTAGCTTTGGCGCCTCTAGCAACTGCCTTATGCATTTACTGCGTGAGCATATGTCTGGATGGTGCCTGGAGTATTTTTTTTTCAACCAGTTTTTCAAATGGAACAGGGAGAGACATTTCATTTGATTTTCACTGGCACAGAAACCGGGCAAGTATGGGGTGACCCGACTGCTGAAACCTCGTCAAATAGGCATTTGAGAAGCAAATGTGGTGACACCTGCGAAATTATTAAAGATTCCTAGAAAGAAAATAAAAGCATTAAAAATTTTAATACAATTCTCTTGAAAACGTATTCACAAACTATGGTACTCTCCACATTATATCTACAATACAAGTTGGTTGAAAACGTTTGCAATCTTGCAGGCAATTCTGAGCATGTGCTATGTCCTTTTTATTCAAGCGCCAAAGGCGCCACACAGTATGGGTTTTCTACATGTATGTCACATAGGACTGTATTGTTCACACTAATATATAAACTCCACAATGTGACTATGTTATCCACGTTATCATTGTTCACTTCACACAAAACTGCATTATTCAAGGTTACATCATAAACGCAATGCACCACTGTATTATTCCCTTAAGTGCTACACATTCCATACAGAACGATATTTTTCACACACATATGTCAAAAAGTATGTATTCTTCAATACCACCACACATTCCACACAAGACAATTTTTTCCACACATATCATAGAAGTTTGTATTCTTCATACTAGCACAGGTTTGTATTTTACCCGCGTGTATCATACAGGTCTGTCTTCTTCACACTATCACCACACACTCCATACACAACTGAATTCTTCAGGTGAACAGCACACACTTCTCACATGCACGTATTGTCAACGTGATTAGCACACACTTCACACATGACTGTATTGTCAACGTGAGTAACAACACTTCACACAAGACTGCATTTTTTCCGTAAGCAACATACGCCTGACACAAGCCACGGATTAACTTTCACACTATCGACGTCTTGTTTCACTATCATAAAAACACAAAGAACCAAAAATAAATAACTGCACAAGTCCATAAATGTCCGCCGAACTGTCATCCTTCTCTGCGACAATAACACAATCAGGCCTTGAGTGAACTCCGAAAAGTAACGTGACACGGAGATGACGTGTGACATGTGAAACTCGTGAAGAATGTCATGAGGGAGAAGACGTGTGACACTGAAATCACGCCAAGAATGTCATTCTCTCGCATGGCCTGTAAACGTCAGTATCGTGTCCTTGAATCCTAACTGAAGCAAGTGCGCACACATTAAGCACATTTGAAGGCGGAGTATTACTGCCGACAACGCTTCATCTGGCAAACATGAGTGCAAAAATGAACCGGTCAAGCTTCACGGCACAAGTCATTCAGTGAAACGAATTTTTGTGTGTGAAATTTATAAATCGACGCCATCAAGAAAGTTACAGTCGCCTTTCAGCACGTGATCACCATTTTCATCTTCCGGTTCCGAATTTCCTTCCATATCTTCTGCTTGTTCTTGTTTCTTTTTTGCAGTTGCCATTTCTGCAGCGTGCTTCTTTCTCCATTTTGTTCGACGGTTTTGAAACCAAAC